AAAATACCATTTATATGTGTTTAACAGAAAGTAATAATTTAGGTTATTTTTCTATAAACACCTACTGGTGTACGAAGGAAAGTGTTTTTTTTTTTTGTTTTTGTAGTAGCAATCAAACATAGACCCGATCTAAATTATAATTTAGACCCTAACCTCAGTCCGGACACTAACATCAACAAAGGAAGATCAAAACTCTATTTGGTGCTATTAGAAGACGTACGATATTTACTAAACATGATCTATGCCCACACTATATAATGTTTCTCAGTAACCCCCCTCCCCTAATCTTTCCTGTACACCCGACACCCACTCGCTACCCCACCCCTTTCCTCTCCACCCTACCCCTTCCCCTTTCCTCTCCACCCGACCCCCCCCCCCCTTTTTACCACACCCCTTTCCTGTACAAGTACCAACTGCTGCGCGGGCTCAGTTGGATTAATGCTAGTTCGATAACGAATAAATTTAATCCGTCTTTCGGCTTAACGGCCATTTGTTGTCATTAATTACAAAAAAATCAATCACTGGTTTACAAGAGTCTAGCTTTAGCCAAGTACAAAGGATAAAAATGGCTTTAGTTGGTGGAGCGAACTGTCTGTCATTATGTCAGCTTGTATTATGCGCACACATTCCGAAAGTGTGCAGTTGCACTATGCTGTCTGTCATCTTGAATGCTGAACATACATTCTTAAAGTGTGCATTATTTCCTCATCATCATCTCGTCTCGTACGTTTCCAAGACAAATGAAGTAGAGTTCATCTGTTTAGGATCAGCACTATGCTCATCCGCATTTGTTTTCCTAATGTGAGTTGTGGGTTCCCATTAGAGCTGGGTGGAATCATGGACGTTCTACAGTCACTATCCCGAACCGAGATCCGAACTCGTGAACTTCGGGCTAGTAGGTAAAAGCTCTACTATTCGACCACTTCGTTCCACACATTACTTTAAATAATCAACTTTTTTTAGAGCTGTATGCTGGCTATTGTGTTTTTGTTGACATAGCTCATGTTATGTCTTTCAACCCAATGTGACATTTGATAGTGTCCAATCATAGCAACCATGTCAAGCAGTGGTCAAATATTTGATATCAGCGGACCAACGCTGGCATCGCACGATGGGTCAAGAGGGGATTATTTGAGAGAAAATCCTACAATAAAATATCCTGCTGACATTAGGGGGAGGGGTTGTCTTGTGTGGCACCCCAGGCAATATCGCCACATCCAATATCACCACATGCAGTATCATCACATCCAATACCACCAAAACCAATAGTACCACATCCAATACCACCACATTCGATACCACCACAACCAATACCACCACAAATACCACCCCATCCAATACCACCACATCCAATACCACCACATCCAATATCAAAACATCCAATACCACACCATCCAATACCACACCATCCAATAACACCACAGCCTACAACACCACTGCTATCAACACCTCCGTTTATTCCCAAGTTTTAAATCAAAGATCCTCTAACCATTTTGTCAACATTTTAAAAACCACCCTGTCTTTGTACGTCTTACTTATCCGCAGTCAATAATTCCCTTTACACACAAGTCCCTGTCTATTCACCCCCTTTACGTCTACGGTCACCAAGTACTTGTTTTATAAAAACCTGTCAATAGCAATACACAAACCTCTTCTTTTTTCAAATCCATATTCAAAGAAGCGCTTTGACAAAATTTTAACAGCCACGATTGAATCAAAGGAGTTATGGTTCGTTGTAAATCACCTTTCTGAAATGTTTGGTTTATTTTTTGCGCAGGGAGTTTTGGAATCGGTTTTGTTATCTAACCCTGTTACACCTGTCGGTAGCGGACGTGGAATTAAAACCGTTATGTTGACTGTTGAGCTAGCGTTACGCTAAATGTTACCTTGTACTGAAAGACAATTTTTGTAACAGTGGTTGTTTCTACCGGCAAATGTCTACGTAGGTTCGTGTGTGAATGCCAAAACGGAAACATTGGTGTTTATGTTTGGGTATAAGCTTTAAATAGATTATGGCATTAAATAAGAAGAGGATATGAATAGATTATGGCACTAGATAAGGGTGTAATCTTTAAATAGATTGTGTCGCTAAATAGAAACTGGTTAAGCCAGATTCGAATTTTTTAATTACTGGAACCAGTTACAGTTAATTAATGGTTTAAATCGTTAATTGAAATTTTCTAACAACGTGGTGATATAGTTTAAAAGTTGTCAATAGTGTATCGACCATGGCTATCAACATTATCATCGTCATTATTATCAACATTGTCATCAACATTGTCATTAACATTAACATTTCCATTAACATTATCATTAACATTGCCATTAACATTGTCATTAACATTGTCATTAACATTGCCATTAACATTTTCATCAACATTATCATAAGTTTAATGCCCAAATAACTACAAGTGTTAATGTGTCCATTCTTTCTAGATTTTCGTTTGCCATTGCTTTCATTAACACGTTTTTGTAAAACTGAGATTTGGAGAGATGGATGTGTGTGGGGGAGGGGGGGGGGGCGGTCACTGAGAGATAACTGCAGAGGCGTAGCGACCCTTCCCGGCGCCCTGGGACAAACTTTCATTTTGCAATTTGCACCCCACCCCCTAAAACTTTCGATTTGCACCCCCCCCCCCTCAAACTTTCAATTTGCACCCCCCACCCATATATTTTTTTATAATGCAAAACTGCAGCTAAAATGAGATTGTAATTTGTTTTTCCAACCCATTTTGGCGCCCCCTAAGATCGGCGACCGGGGACATATGAATCCCCCCCCTCGCCATGCCTCTGGACACCTGCAAGGAACTCAGATTGTATCACACAGTGATCTACTGACATATCATTATCTTTATCCACTGGACTTGTGTGCTAAAAATTTCGCGAGGAAATTTAGTTTCCTTTTGCAAATATCTCACCGAATATTTTAGTCTTTCGTTAGTGCTTGATTTCCTTATGAAAGTGGTTTTTTATAGGTGTATAGGGGGGGGGGGGGGTTATCCTAAAAAAAAATGATTGTCGGTGCTAGAATTTTTGTCATAAATATGAAAGGTTTATCTGAAAAGTTATGTTGTAAATTTTAAAAAAAAATTGCCCTAAAAAACTTTTGTCTTAAGAGTGTTTTAGGTGCCTAAAGTATATTTTTAGTTGTGCACTGAATTCAGTTTTATTTCAATTTAGATTGTGAAAACACAGCGATTCAATTAAAATGCGTGTAACTCCTGCTGACAAACTCAGTATTTATCTCCCCTTGAAACAGACCGGGTTGACAGGTAACGTCGCGGGAAAACAGTTCTGATTGAGTTATTTCCCTTACAGAATTAGGTATTCGTGCTTGACTTGTATCGATTATGGTGACGGGCATTGGGTATTGATCTGAATTTTAATTATATGTCATTCTTATATTTTTAATTAAATAATTTTAATTTTAATCAACTTGAGACAATCATCATAGTGTATCAATTTATGGTTTTGGAAATTAAAATTTTAAAAAATTAAAACAAAAAGAAGTATTCTAAAAATATTCTTACGAAAGGCTTCAGAAAGTTTTGAAATTCTACATTTAGCTTTTTCTCGGAGATTAAATGTTTGAGATTCTCTTCTGTCTCTTTAGTTAAATAAATTTAAAAAGTAAAATTTTGATTTCAAACATTTAGATGCGAAACATTAAAATTGTTATCGCCCTTAGAATATGAAAATACTCAACAGTATATTCCCTTGATACCCAGACCCAGATTGCTAATTTAGCTCAGAAACCCGTGCGATCAAAACATGTCTACAAAGCATACACCCTAAATAAATAAACTCTCACTAACATAAAATCAAGTCACCATAAGCTGTCAATCACCTTAATTCAGACCAACGTGGGGGTACAACGAGGTCGCCTATCGGCTAGAGATCATAACATAGATACGTTTACTTGATCGATTTGCTGTTCAACGTATCAATATATCTTTTCTAGTGGTCCTTGAAACATGTTGGTTTGGTGTTATACTTAATCTTATAAATATTTGGTTTGGTGGTATACTTAATCTTATAAATAGTTGTATCGATGTTATACTTAATCTTATAAATAGCTGGTTTGACACTAGACCGGTAAGAATATAATGTCTTGGTTATAAAAATATCTCTAGTTTATATTTGCAATGTGTATTGTTAAAAAAAGTATTTTAGAGAAAAACAAACAAAAACATTTCCGTCGAAAGATAAGCTTTTTTACTTTTTTCATGCTTCAACACAGACTAAAACGCACGCACTAATGTTGTCTGATTTTGAATCGTGAACCTTTAGATCGTGCTGCCTGAACTTTAAGAACCTCTCAAACAGATTGTAATTAGGCGAATGCTGCTATGTCATGGATATGAAGAATACGTAGGCCTACATGTAACGATTGATTTATGATTTTTTAAAGAGCCTGATTTATACATGTACAATGTGAGCATATCTAGCCTACTGGTGGGCTTGGTTTAACGATCCTAAATGTGAGGGGCTTGGTTTAATTATTAACCTATGTATGTGGGGCTTTGCTTAATGACCCCGTATAAGTGGGACTAGGCTTAATGAGCCCGTATGCTTTGGCCTTTGTTTAATGACACCATATGCCTGGGTCTTAGCTTACTGGACCCAAATAATTTGTGCTTGGTTAAATTATCCTATAGCCTTAAGCTTAATATTCCTATTTGCTTCACTAATTGCGGTTTTTTCCTTATAGATTCAGAAGTTTAAAATTCTGCTTGGGCGCTAGGCGCTTTTTGGATTTGGTGAACACGACAGAGGAAAATGACGGGTACTGCATTGGCTCCACACGATCTGCACCGATTGATGTGAAGATTTCCATTTCTAAAAATTGTGATTAGACTCCATATTGAACACTTCTGCACCAAGTGATATGTAGATTAAAACTTCTAAAAATTGTGTTTAGACTCAATACAGAACATGCCTGCACCAAGTGATACGAAGATTAAAATTTCTAAAACTTGTAGTTAAACTCCATATAGAACATGCCAACGGAGATTAAAATAGTGGTGCCTATGGCGCAGGACGACGAGACGTCATCGCTTGCAGATGGTGTTGATGATCCCGTCACTTCTGATGGTGCGGATATCAGCAGAGGTACTGTGGCTGTACCAGAGGTCGAACTGCTCGACCGTCAAATCAGTGATTCTCAAAACAATGGTCGCGGGGAAATATGTGATTCTCAGGCAACAGAATCGGCGTTTATCGAACATCCAGATGATCACACTTTTCATCGCCATCATCAAACACATCAACTAAAGCTCCGGGCGAACCTTCAAAATAACCAACAACATATTCATCAACCTAATTCTCAGGATAACCAACAGCATAACCTACAGCCAAACCATCAACCCAACCATCAACCCAACCATCAGAATGGCCACCAGCATCACCATCACTACAAACATCATCACCACCACCCACAGCTACACCAGCAGGAGATAACACTCCCTCTTGACCAAACACAGCTGAACCTGTTCACCAACATGGCTGACCACAACGTTGTGCTGGACAGAGGTCAAACGCGGGGAGGCAAAACACCGGCCTCGTCACCAAGACTGGGATATAGGAAGGTCTGTATGTTAGCGTAGTTTTGTTCTCGTTGCTAAAATTAAGTTTAATAAAGTATGGATATGTTAATCTCTAGAAGGAAAAGTCCGTGTAAAAATCTCATTGTCTGAGTAGAATCAGCTCTAAAAGTAGCCCATCATATATTGAGAAGCAAGGCAACTCTGGGTTTAGAATTTCTTAACTTCTGCTTTACATGATATGTGGGTCTATCAGAGTTTAAATCAACAGTGTTGATGAAACTTGTTAAAGACCTGATTCTGATAATTTTCAGCACCGCGCTTTTAATAAGCACCGCACTTTTTAATACACCTTGGTGTCTCACAGCATGTATATATACAAACCCAGTAAGTATTGATAGATATTGTACTAGCTTTACTACATTGAAGAAGAGCCTGACCAGACTTGAGTGGATCTCTCGAAATTTGGGCGTCTTAAATGTTGCTTTACTTTAGCTATAAAATGTTTTAAATAGACTATGTGGTATAATAATCGCATAAGATCCTGTATAGTTTTAAGCCCTGTTTATCTGACACTGGGCCCTACATAGAAACCAAGGTCATGCATGCATCATTTTAGTGATTTTAACTACTTTTTTACTAAATAAAAGTTGTATTCTCTCATACTAAAAATGTTAAGTTTCTCTCAACAGAGTCCGTTGTCAAGGGAACAGTCAGCACATCACGAGCCTGTACGACTATCTGTGACAGAGACATATGGTAAGATTTTCTAGTGAAACATATACGAATAGTATTACTGATCAGTTACTCTTATATTATTTACAGTGAATGGATGTTTTAAAATGTTAGTTAGTTTATCATGCTTTTTGTATACAATGAATTTGTTAAATTGTTAATTCAAATTTAAACATCAATTACAATATTGCGATATTTTTTTACCATATAATCGAGTTATTAGTATTCGTGAGGTCAGCAGAACTGACTCATGATTCGTAATATTCGTTAGTAGGCGGGGTAGGGCATGGTTGCTAACATGAAAAGTTCAAGAGTTCGAACCCCCGGGCAGATGTGGCTCGCTAGCTGGGGACAGCAACCCATCTAGGAGAGAAAACGGAAATCAAGTAGGTTGGGGGCCTTTAGGCGCTGGGATACCAGCTCTGGTTTCCAGTTGGCAGCTTCTGCGACACGGCTGGTGCCAGGTTGTGTAGGTGACGTCACTCCCTTTGGCACTTTTGTTGTGTGTAGAGTTGGGATCTGATACATCGGCAACTTCTGGCTCTACTCAGCTTGATGTCCGGGCCTTGCACGTTGATTTTCTAGGCGCAATCATCCAATCTTTTGTCAGACTATGAAACCATTTTTATAGTATTCATGTGGTCAGCGTGATTCATGATTCGCAAAATTTAGATGAGTTTGTACTCATGCGGTCAGTATGATTGATGATTAGTTGAGTTTGTATTCATGTGGTCAGTATGATTGATGATTAGTTGAGTTTGTATTCATGTGGTCAGTATGATTCATGATTAGTTGAGTTTGTATTCATGCGGTCAGTATGATTCATGATTAGTTGAGTTTGTATTCATGTGGTCAGTATGATTGATGATTAGTTGAGTTTGTATTCATGCGGTCAGTATGATTGATGATTAGTTGAGTTTGTATTCATGTGGTCAGTATGATTGATGATTAGTTGAGTTTGTATTCATGTGGTCAGTATGATTGATGATTAGTTGAGTTTGTATTCATGCGGTCAGTATGATTGATGATTAGTTGAGTTTGTATTCATGTGGCCAGTATGATTGATGATTAGTTGAGTTTGTATTCATGCGGTCAGTATGATTGATGATTAGTTGAGTTTGTATTCATGTGGTCAGTATGATTCATGGTTAGTTGAGTTTGTATTCATGAAGTCAGTATGATTCATGAATCTTATAGTTAGTTGCTGTAATACTCGTGTGAGCAGGGTGATTTCTAATTTTATTCTTGGGCTATAAATCAGCGGCTCTCAAATTTTCTAAAACATCTCTTTTAATTTTAAAGGGAATATATGTGAGGGTAGTGTTGATAGTTTGACGAATGCTCGAATTATATACAAGCGTGGAACCAAAGAACTCATAACTAAGGCTAGCTAAGATAGAATTAATCTGAAAAACTGACACGTTCAAGAAGAACCTTTATCTAAACAATAATTGCTTTAGAAAACATGAGACGCGCCATTCAATAGAAGAGGGTGAGTCCCATATGGCGCCCGCACTCGAGTGAATGGCCACGCCAGAACAATGTCCGTCCGCATTGACCATCATTTAATATCCGGACACATGAGATCAATGTGTGTCCAGGGACCTCATAACGGTCCCTGTGTGACCGATCCTTGACCTGAAAACGCTGTGCAAACAATCACGCTGTAAAGTGACACTTTCAACAGCCAGCGAAGACACGGTGTTATCTCCCTTGTAGATCTATCAATAAATAAACAGGCTGCATCAAGCTTTCCCAAATTTCATGAAAACAAAAATTAAAATATTCGATTCTACAAGTGCATTATTTTTTTTTTACAATTGTTACTAAAAATAGCTCTTTGTTTATCGGGAAGCCGATGAGACAGAATAAAACTATGGCGCGTTTGATCCCAGCCAATCAATGAGGCGGTAACAAGCGAGAGCACGCGCGTCTGACCCCTTACATCGCGCCACCGAATTCTTTGGCACCGTTTCTACATGACGCCCGAACTCTAAGCAGTTCTCGCGTGTTCAGATTAGACATGATTTCTGACATTCCAATTTTATTTTTTTATTTTGTAGCAAAACGAGTTTGAATGTTCATGAAGGAATTGTTACTAGAAATAATCTAGTAATCACATAGGAATATCTATTGGGTAGACGAGGAGGGGGGGGGGGGGGGGTATGAAAATTGGTAAATTTTTTTTTAATATAGACATATAAAAATAACTCATCATTTGCTTATTTGTAAAACATATAAGTTGTTCTGTTCATAATGTTTCTTTAATTTATATTTATGTAGCTGTGGGTGGATATCAGAAAAGTCACCAATGTCTAGCCACGCCATTATTATATGTTTTTTCTCCTTCCATAGTAACTGATGAGGTATGGTAAAATTTGGGAACATTTTTAGCGCAATTTCCATTCTGGAGAATTGCGTTTATTAACTCGTCATTTCTGGGAATGGATGGATGGATGAATGTGTGTCCGGGCTTTAAGTCGTATCTCCTCCTTAACGAAGCAATATCGATGACTAGTTCCAAAAGCAATTATGTTAAGTAAGTTAGGAGAATGAGCATAGGCCATAAAAATTCCGGGTTTCTTTCATGTATTTCCCGGAAAAGCCAAAAAACCTCGAAAAAATTCAGTTTTTGGCCCATATCTCGGCAACCAGACCACTTAGCGACTTGAAACATGTACCAATCGATTCCTGCCATAATTTAGAACAATATTGCCGAAGAAAGTTTTCAAAAATATCCTCTCGTTCGGTCACAAATTTTAAAATTACATAAACACCTACAAACCGATCTTTCTTCTAGCTTGAACGCACCCCATCATTATTCGTCAGAGCTATTTTTAGATAACATAAGGAAATTGCGCATAAATGTCACTAGACTTTTTTAATTAACTTGTTTAGATAAGTGATGGAACTAAAAAAAAATAATGTTTGGGGAGTCGGTGGGGGGAAGGGGTGGAATTAATAACTTACTTTACAATTTTCATTTAGAGCACACGAAATAATTATTTGCCTTACAAAACTACTCAAGTCATTTAGTTGTTGTTTATTTTTATTTTTTTACTGTGTTGTTGTGTGGCCTAAATGTGAATCATAAACTGGTTACCGCTTTTGAAATGTGCGTATGCGTGAGGTTGTGAGAGATATGTATGTGTTTATGTGCAATGAATGTGCAATGTGTATGTAAGTGTGTGTGCTTATGCGTGTGGTTGAAGTGTGTGGTATGTGCGTTATGTGTGTATAACACATGTGTGTATGTAATTGAATCTCTGTGTTGGTGGTATTAGTGTGTGCTTGTTTTCAGGTGTGTATGTGTCTAAGAGAGAGGCGTGTGTGTGAGATAGAGATGTGTGTATGTGTTCGTGTCAACAACACAAGAACGTGACCACAGAAAGGAGATGTGTGATTATGTACTGTATGACAGTGGCCTCTCTCGAAGACGAAAGAAAGACGTGAAGGAGGGGACAGGGGGGGGGGGGGCACTTTCGTTTTCTTCGTTTGTTGTATTTGTGAAAAAAAAAATGAAAAAAAAAACTACAATAGCTTCAGTGTGCTCGCTGCTTGTTTATCCCGTGTCGCACCTGCGGTCAGCTAATCCAAACGGTCCAGGTAAACAACACACACACACACATGCGGGGACTACGCTCGAAATAACGGAAAACAATAACATAGGTCATTAGTGAGAGGGGGGAGAACAATTAACCTGCAGGATAAACTCGCGTAATCTCCCCCAGCTTACAACCTCACTACAATAGCTAAGGTGGGTTAAGGCCAGATACGTTTTTACAACAACAATAAAAACTGTCTGTGAGCAAAAAAAAACTTGGATACAAATGTAGGTGGGGGAGGGGAGGGGGGGGGTGACTGGACCATAGTACAGGTGACTCGTCCAAAAAAAATCGATGCACGCATTGGTACTCACGCACAGATATACACACACAGACACACACACACGGACACACACACACACTGCTGTTCAATAGTTAGGTCGACGAAAGAAAGAAAATGTGTGTCGACGGCGTATCCTGTCTATTGTGTGAGGTGGGTCGTTGTGGGAGCTCAGGATCAACATAGCCTTCTGATTAACAGCTGCCAAATTGAACTATTAAAATTCTATCAAGTGCTTACCATGCTCAGGATATTTTAATGTCTTTATTTTATACTATCCCATGCTTGGGGGGGGGGGGGGGTCTGGAGAGAGAGACGATAAACCTCTACCATACGAACATAATAGCAATAGGCTCTCTTTTCAAACATCCCTTTTTTGCTAGGCCTATTTTTTATACTGAACAATAAATTGTAAAATTTCGTTTGTTATTAGAAATAAGATTCTATGTAGTGGGAAATTAATTACCTTTTTAAAATTAAATAAATAGGTTACACCTGTTTCCTTCCCATTGTTTGTATTAACTGCAGCTGACGAGTTGTTGTTTTTTTAAGTCAAAGTAATTTTAACAATAGGCTAATTGTATCAATACTGCTGTTAATGTTACATTTTTTTAACCAAAACTAAACAATCGGTGTTTCTTTTTTTAAATTGTAGTTTCCGACCCCCGCCTTTTATATGCTAACCCAAGGGAGGTGATAGTCTTGATGAAACACAAAGCAATTCGCGAGTTGTCCGCCCCTGCTCGGGTGAGACCGAGGCGGGCCAGTGCTCAGCTTTGACGGCTTTGTTGTGGGACCTGACGATCGATATCCGGCTGGCCGCGCGACGCTGCTGCTTCTAGTGCTATAATCTATGCTGCTATCCAAGATGGCGGATCCTGTGTTGTGTCGAGTGTTCCATATTTGTGTTTTCAAATGAAGATCATTTCTGATATTAATTAACAAATTAAATTGCGATTTATTTTTAAAAACGTGTTTATATGAGGATAGTTAAGCTGTCTTTATAGTTTTAGCTTAGATCAGCTAAAGTGCGGGGAGATATTTGTATACCTGCAAACGATTTGTGTGTCATAGGTTATTAAGATAAACGTAGATAGATGCAATGCAAAGGTACTTGTTTCCTAGCAAGGTCCACAGAAAATCCTTCGACAAATAACAAATTTGTCAACGTCTTTCAGATACAGGAGGCTTTGAAAAGGTAAGACATTTTTTTGTTTCGTTTTATTGTGAAGATACTATGTTAATTAATTGGTGTCACGTGACTTGTTTTTCTCAGACCTAGAGGTGGAGCATCGTGACATTATGGCCAAAGCCCTGAGGTCGTATAGTCGGCACCGGTACGGGGAGAGAGCGGTGGGGGAGGGGATCGAGGATTCTCAAAGTAACACGGGTGGTAGCCCCACACACCCAACGCCCCCTGTTATAAATGGGGAGTTGATGAAAAAACTAGCGCATCAGAGTCACAATGCGGAGAACACGAACTTGACTTCTAGAACTTTTAAACTCTCGCTGTGTCGGCTGCGTTTCCATGACGACGACGACGCCGACGAGTCTCCGACGATTCTCCAAGGCAAAGGCCCGTCACTCGCGTTCAAACGCAAACCACTGCTCTCCCCCACCCGCCCGCTGGTGACGCCGGTGCCGACGCTGTACCAGCTGGAGGAGTCAGACGGCGTCATGGCTGACTCTGTGGGGCACGTCTACAAACCCAAGAGGATCCGCCCCTGGACGGCCCTGCCGGGCAAGTTGATAGACTTGGTTAAAATCAATACACGAGGCGCCGAGAACCGCAGGTACGGGGGTGTGCGACACACGTGTCGCGTGACGGTGGAGTTGCCAGTTGTACTGATGCAACGGTTCCTTAGAGGCCGCTGTGGCAGGAAGTTTGTCCCATGGGTGCTCTTGGGTGTAGAATCGCTAGCGATATCTTTCTCTTTAATCAATTAGCGTGCATATTAAATGGATTGTAGAGATGCAAACATATAGATTTATAGGCTACACGGCTTAAAATAGCCATTCTAAATTAATTGTTTTTGTTGTTGTTGTTGTTGTTGTTGTTGTTGTTTTTTATCTTGATCAATGAGCATGCATCTGTAGGTCTTTGATTTCAAGCGTATTAAATAGCCAATGTTTATAGACTGTAATTTTCTAAATTTATCCTACGTAGGCGTATTTATTAAACATTAATAACAAAAAAGAGGTTTTAAAATAATAGAATACGCTACATTAAGAAGTATTTTTAACGTCACTCGACAGTGTGTTCTTTATTGAGAAATTAATAGAAAATCTATTTGAATCTACGTGTAAGTGAATGCTAATCTATAAATACAACAATGATCTTTGAAATATGTATCAATTTCACTAACGTTTGCACAAGCGTGTCAACACTGGGTGAAGATATCAGACACTGTACATCAACATGATGCTAGTGTATAGACTTGTTCAAAAGCTTAGCTTGCCGGAGTTGAATTATATAGATCTTTTTGCTAGCTTGATTACATGGTAGCCATGTTACAATCTTCAAATAGGATAAAACGTTACGTTTTTCGTTTTGCTTCATAATTTTATTTTTTTGTCATGTGCGCTCCGAGACTTTGATTCTGAAGAAACGAATACAAAGTTTAAACCAGAAATAAATTAATGGTTATTTTTAAAGTATAGACCTTAAGGTCTTGGGAATCCTTGATCCGAAAAGAATATTCCCTTGTCTCTGCTAGAAGTGCCCGTTCTTTCTCTACACTAGATGTAAACAAAGATATTAATCTGTTTATTATTTAACTTTATTAATTACGTCATTACTGAAGAGGTGCTATTTTTCTAATCATACACGTGCACTCAGATGTCACCATATCTCTTTGTGCTTAACAAAGATATGAACATGTTTATCTTAACTATATTTTTATCTATATTAGAATATATTACTACCATTACTGTAAACTTACATAGATATACACAATCATATATTCCAATATCTTTTTGTGCTAAGCAGCGATATTAACATGTTTATCTTAACATTATTTTTATCTATATTACTATATATTACTTAAAGTTCCACTTCAAACCTGACGGTCTACAGGGCAGGTGAAGTAGAGTTCACTTGTTTCTGTGACCTCGGCATATGAAGGGATAGTGTGGTCAGCACTATGCCCAGCCGTCTTTACTTACCTTAACGTGAGTTAGGTACCCATCAGAGCTGGGTGGACTCAGGGACTATCTTCTGACATGAACCCGGATTTGAACTCTAGACGTACGGGTTAGCAGTCCAACTCTCTACTGCTAGGCCACTCCGTCCCTTTATATATTACTACCACTACTGTAAACATAAATAGACATACACGATCATATGTTCCCATATCACTGTATGTTAAATAAAGATATGAACGTGTTTATCTTAACTATAGTACTATATGTTACCATACAAAGACGAGCACTATCAGACGTTCTCACATCTCTCTGTACAGGTCCAGTGACGACCAAAGCTCGCGCTGTGCCAGTGTGAGCTCCATCCGGCCGTCCACCAGCCGACCCGTCAGCAGACGGCAGAGTGTCCCCCTCCCGGGCACCAAAACCAACCTCAAGGTCGTCCATCCGAAGATGAGCGATCACCCACCTCACTCTATGGCCTACCAAAAGAGAAACCGCACGACCCACATGTGGACAGACGGCAGTCAGCTGATGAGCCAGAGCCTGCCCAGTTCCAGCTTCCTACACCGGCAGTTCGCCAGCTCCGCCTCGTCCTCGCCTCGTTCTTCCAGGGACGCAACCTCCGAAAAGGCGTCTCCCGCGGGGAAGTCAGCCACAGCCCGCCCCAGCTCTTCCTACTCCTACGACGGTGGGTTTTTCGTCGGTGCTCACTCGGGACAAGCGGAGTACTTTGTTATCCACCCGGATTGGGTGTCCGAGGCCGTGACCATCAAGAAATTGTCCATCGGCAGCAAGAGCAGCGGACCGCCGGTGTCCAAGAGCGCGAGTTTCAGGAACTGGGGCGGGCGACGGTGCCTGAGCGCGCCCCCTGCCAAGCGGAGAAACCCCATCACGTGGGATCAGTCTGAGCCAGTCGACATACCGGAGAGACGATATTAATGTAGCTAGTTTATATCCTTTTTCTTAACCAATTTCCTTCTAGAGACTGTTGCTATGAACATTTGTGTCATCCTGCCTTTTCATTTGACGCTGGTTTTATGTTAGTCTTGGTATTTACAACTGATCACGACAAAAAGGCCACAAAAATCAAAATAAATTGTTTGGTGTTTATTTAAATTTGTTTTTAAAAGGTGGAAAACTTTCTTTACACGTCAATATTTGTGTCAACTATTTCAGCTTAACTTGCTATAATTATACCGAAAGAAAACAAAGCTGTATAAAATAAAACGTTGTATGTTTGTAAGGAATTGCAATTGCTGAATTTCCGTCTTCTTTTGAAAACTTACTGGGGAAAAAAAAGCTTTTGCTTTTCACAATTAACTTGTGCTTAACAATAGGAACCTAGTATACATTCAGTAAATTTCAACATTTTATTTTTCATAGTTTAAATTCTTTAAGACTTAATACAGATTTTCTAAACACATTTTTATAATCAGCAATCTAAAAAGCCGCATGTATAGTTGTTTGTTAAGTTTCAGTGTGTTTATGTTAGGGAATGGGTGGGGTGGGGGGGGGGGGCGCTCGTTTCGCTACAAATTGTGTGCGGCTTTAGCTCTATGCTAATGAAAAAAAAAATTGATCGTTATAATGCAATGATAGGATAAGTGAATTAAAACTGATGACCTCCGGACAAAAATAACCGACCCTGCGAATTTTAGCTATGTTACAGCACGTATTTGTAGGGTTAGGAAATTAGTTTAGGTGCGGTGTGGTGGGGGAGGTCTATAGATCTACAGTGTATTTAAATGGTTCACACTAGAAGGTGATCTGTAACTTGGTAGATAAGCCGAAGTTTTAGCGATTTTTGTATCTTATTTTTCTAACTCAATTATATTTTTTTTAAGAAAAGTGATAGGCCTACAACTTAAAATCTTAGGCCACACTTTTATAAGTCATTTTTATAGTGGTAATGTAATTTATAAATAAGTGTAAGAATTGTTTTTATCATTAAATTCAATCAATCAAAAAAAAGATCATTCATTCGTTTACTATTATCTGCATCACGCCAAGTTTAATCTTTTTAAAAAAATCAAGAACCAAACCATCTTTTAAATAACTGAGCTATGTGCACAAAATCTTTATTCTCTTAATTACTACTAGCACTTCTAACTTTCTAGAATTTTACAATCTCTTTCAATTTTAAACCAACCACCACCTCCCCATCCGCAAAGCTAGAAAGTCTTATTACCTCATGTACGGTAATCTCCTGTATATACCTACACTCTCTCGTAATCACAATCATGAAAGTCATTGTAAATATCAAGGCCTGAACCACCAACGCTAAAAAACTGCACCCATTACGTGATTTATGTGTGTGTGTATATATATATATATATATATATATATATATATATATATATATATATATATATATATATATATATGTAGTACGTATGTATATGTATGTATATATGCATGCATGTATGTATGTATGTATGTATGTATGGAGTACATATATATATATATATATATATATATATATATATATATATATATATATATATATATATATATATATATATATATATAAATATATATATATATATGACTTATATAATTTAATTTCTTATTGAATGTTTTCTTCCCACAAGCAGCTTATAGTTGCTGTCACTGATTCAGCTTTTGTTTTCTACAGTCCGTATGTTTTTATTAAAAACCTGCTCTTTTATTGATTTTGTAATAATCAGATCGATTGGAATTATACAGTGTAATAATAACTGTGCAATGTAAACATTGAGCTAATTGGTTTGTCAGCTTTATCATTGATCTTGCCTGTTTGGTGTTAGGTATCCAAAGTGGTTTTACCAGAGCAATTTAAAAACATGGATCCACATAATCGTTTGTTTGTTGTTTTTTATTTTTTTATTTTAGAAACGGAACAAATCTTTTTTTTTTTTTTTGTTATTCGCTTTGTTGTTTTGGTATTCGCCAGTTATAAAAGCGTTAGCAGGATAAAGGAGTTGGACATTTTATTGAGTTTTTATTATTGTTAGTATTGCTGTTAGGGTCATAATTAGGGTCAGGTAAAGGTTAAATAAACGTATAAAACCTTTTGTCTATTTAAGCAAAAGGATTTTTTATATTACTATATTTATCTCAGATATATATATATATATATATATATATATATATATATATATATATATATATATATATATATATATATATATATATATATATATGCCAATACATAACGTGATATACAACACCCCCCCCCCCCCAACCCAAAAAAGCCACTGGATGTTGTGATCAAGAATAACGTTTATATTCGTTAAAAAGTGAATTAATTGTTTGGTAGAGTTACCGTAACGATACTATGAGTGGCGTTTAATTCTTACTGTCAACGTTTTTCTTTTAAAATCTTGTTGTTTTGTTTTTTTTTCTAACCGTGTGAATGTGTGTATGAAGCAAATACATTTGTTAACGTGCTGCTGGTTTGGTCAGCTTTCATCTGTACTTACAGCTGCATTGCACTTGTAATGTCCATCTTAATTAAGAATCGTTGATTATGTAGCACAATCCAGGTTAATTATGAAGTATTAGTATCATTTGTTGCAAGTATACCGTCCTGCTTAAGTATAAAGTGCTAGAAATACAGACCAGCCTGACTGAGAAAGTTTTCAGTTTTTATTGCAACTGACTTACTAATGAACTTACTAATGTTAAATTGGCATCCGTCGCGACCGTATTGTCTATCTTAGTTAAGAATTCTCAGATGTATGTATTACAATGGTATGATCCAGCTTAAACATGAACCGTTAGATGTATGCATTACAACTGTGCCATTCCGCTAAAATGTAAATTACTAAGGTTATGCGCAACAGTTCTATCGAAGCTTAGATAAAAAGTGTTGGTGTTTGATTCATGCTTGCTTAGGTGCAATATTTGTTGGATGTCATCATGCACACTCACACAAACATGCTGAGGTCAATAAAAATATAAACTCTACTTCATCTGCACTATGCATCGTTAGGTCTGTTAGGGGAGCTTTCCTTTACTCACATACAGTTTGGTCTGCGGGTCTATGACGGTCTGAGGCGAATTTCAAATGTCGGATGAAAAAATATTTAGACATCCCGGTAGGGTCTAGACTGACTAGACACGCCATATGGATGATGTAGGATAATCAGATACAGTGAATCATATTTAATGTCTGGATATCAATTTTGACATGTAGCTTGGCTGAATAAACGTAAAATAAAAAATTTTCATTCTTGCTAATATCTTAAGGACCTCTTTAATTAATTAAATAAACTTTAAAAATAATGTTGTATTGGAGTTACGATTCTTTTTTCCACTTAAATATAATTTCTCTTCTACAATTTAGCCAGCATTAAAAAAAATGAATTAAATCAACATTTGTTTTTTGTAGAGCAAAAATTTCTTTATAAAACTAATGTAAGCAACAATATGTTGGCCAGTTGGCATCAATGCATAATTTTTGTTGACGTACTTCAACTCGGCGGCGTCACAAGGTCGGTGACACCGGATGCGGTAACCCATGGTGTCACACACACGATGTACTAAATTAACTACAATTTAAAAAGTTGTCTCCTGGCGGTTGGTGTCGCCTTGTCCAGAAAAAAAAATATTTATAACTTTAGAGTTTGTAAACTTACTGGGAGAATCAGACTCATTAAAAATTTTACTTTTCGTTTTAGTGTCATCACTTTGGATAGTGTCACCACTTTGGGTGGTATCACCACTTTGGATAGTGTCACCACTTTAGATAGTGTCATCCATTGCGTTTTAAGCTCCTACCTCGTGACGCTATTCAGATAGAGTTGAGGCTGGTTAAAAATAACTGTGTAAAAATAAAACGGTGTCAATTTACCCACTCACCGGCTGCATGTATCATTGAACAATATACCATAAAAGTCAGTTTTTTTTTAATGCTAATTTTTTGCGTCAGCCCAACGTGTAACATTTACACGCGTGTAGGGCTAGATTGTGTAAGAAGAGATAGGAAAAACACACTTTTATCAAAACTGTGCAGCACAATGCGATCGTAAAGCTTCTAAAACTATACAAGGAAAATTAACATTAGTGAAAAATTTGACGGTGTCCAGTTAAGCCCCGCCTACTAATGAAATAAAAATGCACGGCGAAAAGTTAAGCATCTTGTGACCTATTTCTGATGTCTAGACATTTGAATATTTAAAAGCACGCCATAAAACAACTCCTTATGCGCCTCTAGGTTAAGGTCAAATGTACCAAAATACAGAGCCTTTCGTGCAAATAAATGACATGTCCCCATTTTACCTCATTCAATAAAATCTAAATGTACAAGTTTCATACCGCCCCCCCCCCCCCAACAAAATGGAATTTATTTATATAGAAAATAAATACTTTTAACAGTGTCGTCCCCCCCCCCCCGAAAATTTCAAGTGCCCCCTCCCCCTTGAGAAAAAGTCAAGAATAAACACTGACGGCTTGTTCTCGGGATAATACTTCTCGTGCACACATAAGTCATTAAACGTCAGGCTCCTATAACGTGATCATGTGTGTCATTCGCTTATAACCATCAGGGTGGTACAGACGCTAACGTTAATGCACATAATGGCGCCTTTCATCCTCAGGATTAAGCCGTTGATTCTGAGACTGTTTCTTAACCAGTGTCAGGAAATTGGAAGTTTTTTAACTCCGTGGGGGGGGGGGGGGGGGGGGGGGGAGAGGCCGTATATATAAGTATATAAGGGAAGTATATATAATATTTTTCTATATAAAATATTTTATGCCTGAAGTAAACCCTAGGTGGACTCGTCCAAAAGTAAGTGTGTTAGGTTGTAGCGCTAGAATATCATCAGGTTGTTACATCCAGAAATTGGAGTTTATGATAAGGCAGAGCTTGGTTAGCAATGACATAAATAAGCTATATTTGTGTCTCAACAACAATTTCATCCCACAGAAAAAACCTTGACCATTCCCTTTACTGGACTTGATGTGAATCCCTCAATGTTTTCAATTTTATCACCTCTAAATGATAATAATACACAGACCAACTCAATCTAAGTTTTACGAAACAAGAAAGAGTATTTAAAACCCTACCAGTTAAGACAATATATTATCAAACCCCATACAACAATACACAGACTGAATAACCAAGCAACAATTTCAGTTTACAAATGTTTAAAATCTACACTTTATTCATTAATTTGTTCCACACTGGCAGTAGAATTGCATCATGTACTACATCTATCTATCACAAATCACACTCAGACAATGGACCAGCAGGTTTACAATCATGACACCACATTCACATTTAACTAACATAACTGCTCTCAATAAAATGATACACAACATCAGATACAAAAATACCATACTATCTCTTCATGCAAGAAAGAACATTTTTCTAATTTTAGTTTTTTCAAAACTTAAAGAAAAATAGCCGTAGAAAATTATCAAAATTAAAATCTTGAGATCTAATTTAAATTTTAAACTCTCCAAGATGTGAAATTTGAGGCACTAAATACATAGTATTTTTAAAAATAGGCAATGCAGTTTAATAGACGTATGGAAGGTTAAAAGGAAAAAAATAGTTCACATCAAACATTATCAGTGGAAAAATGTTTTGCACTGAAGTTTAAAAATATATTTAAAAAACTTACAACAGAAGAAACATGATATCCAGGGCAAAAGTCTAACACACGTCAACATTCATCAAGTAGAAAAAAAACAGCATGTAGAAGCCAAGAACGTTTTTAAAACAAATCAAGACAAAAAAATACTGATTGTATGAATTGTTGCGTGTGTAAGACGTATGATGCAAAACTAAACCAAGACGCACCAAAACAAGTAAATAAGTTAAAATTGACAGCTGATTAAGACTTGAAAAAAAAAACATGAATTAAAGTTTTAAACTACATGACTGAAGTTCAGCCTACAACACAAGTACAAAAATAACTTGATCTCTGATTAAAGAAAAATGAAACTAATTACAATGAAACTAAAATGTCTAAGTAGTACTGAGATGACAACAGAGAATGCTTTATTATTGGTACTTAATTCAGAAAAAAAACATGGCTCTTCTCTTAGGGACAAAAATCAGAGTTTGGGTGAGGATTAGGCTTGACTGAGGTATTGCTATCAGCAAAGCAGCTTTATAATACCCTACTCACAGCAACATTAATTTTAATGGGGTTGACCAGAACGTGTCAATGATAATTACTCCTAAGATCCAAAATTATGATCAGATATTAGAGAAACTCAATAAAACAAAAACAGAACATCACATAAAAACATGATAAATAGTTGAAAACAAGGACAAAACTAGTAATATTTTCTCACCACAGATGTAAATATATCAGTTAGAGGAATGGACAAAGTATTACTAGCGATATACTAAAATTGCATTGGGAAATCAACAGGCTTGACAACTAAAACTTGTAAGTTTCAACAAACTAATCTACGGGACAATGATGAAATCCTTACAGTACAAGGTATGGCTTTAATGAAAAAATAAATATTTCTTTAAAAAGGTACAAGGAACAGTCAGATAAAGCAAGCGATTTCAAGATGATATTAAGTACCAACTTAGATGAATCAGGACGTGTGGGAATTACCTACAAGATATGTAGCATCAATTGCACAGTTACTAGAGATGACCATCTCTGTCTGAATAAATGCTAATTGGTACTTGTGAAATGTTCATTGGTAAACAGCGAAACTGCTTGGTAAAGTTTATCTGAGGTTGTGACCTGAAAAAATAGACACAACTAAATTAAGGTTGTACAACAGGATTGTACACTTTAATTTTAATGTTTAAGATAAGCAAATGAAAAACTACATCTATTTAATTTTAATTTGATACAGAGTTCTATTATCAAAGTAAAGTAGTTTTCTACTATAAAGTTTACTATTATTAAGGGACATTTGTTTCCAATTTAACATGTTATTTTTACCTCATCTTTTATTTTAATATACCCAATGTGTTAGACAAATAAATTACAAAGGACAATGACAGACACAAAAATTAAATAAATATCAAGTAGAATATGCCCAATAAAACTAATTGAAGTATGTATTTATGAAATTACAAAATTTGTAAATAACAATAAGCTTGGTCTTTAATGATGATCGTTAAAAAAAAAACTGTCAGGTGACACCCTACTGTAAACAGATTGGTTAAGTCATGTTTTTTTATCAGGAGAGGTATTTTGTAGGTGTGAGTCTTGATACTTACAGCTTCAAATTAATTCACTTTGGATTTAGGACTGGCAGGGATCACAGTTTTTTTCAGTGCATAGTAGATCACATGGAAGTTCTGTGGAAATGAAGTATCCTTAATAGTTTACATGGATTTCGTGGGAAAAAAGTATCCTTAACAGATTACATAGAAATTGCGTGGAAGTAAAGTATTCTAAATAGATTACATGTAAATTAACAGAAAAATATTGGATATAACTACAATCTACAACTTTTTAATCAAAGTAAAGGCAGCAACTTAATAATAATGTAGTACGTCTGATGTCTAAACCTTAAAAATTATTTTTATTGGTAATCAATATTTCAAATAAATAAACAGAAGTTTGTTGTGGTACACTTCACTGGTGTCGCCATTTTTAATTTAAACATATTAATATATGATTTACATTACTTCCATTTTTCCAGGCATTTTTAAGGTACTTTTTTGAAAAGAATGAAATAAGTATTTCAAAGAATGAAATAAGTATTTCTATTTAATCAATGCAACTATTTACCTGAGCAAACAGATAGGCCAGAGCCAGGTAGCCAGCAATACACAGGGCAAGAAACAGGTCAAACACAGCAGGCTTCACACTGCAGATAAACAAGTACAACAGATTTAGCCTTGTCTAGTAGCCTATGTCAACAATGCGATCAATGAAAACTACCTAAGATGTGAAATAAAAACACACTTTTGAACACCTATAACATAAAGATCAAAAGTTGACTTACTTGTAAGCATTGACAAGATACTCAGCACCAGTGTAGAACACAAACTCAGGATCTCTGTAACAATCAGGAGTGAATACTGTGATATCCTAATTAATTTTTTGGACTCAATGCAATCAACTTTGTTATGTGATGAAAAAAACTTAACTACAACATGTAAGTTGTACATGCTAAGTTCCCTTTTCAAACCTGTTGATCCATGGGGCAAGTAAAGTTCACCTCTTTCTGTTACCTCTGCATATGAAGGTATAGTGAGGTCAGCACTATGCCCAGCCACCTTTACTTTCCCTAATGTGATTTAGATACCCATCAGAGCATGGTGGACTCAGGGATTTGAACTCAAAACTTTTGGGTTAGCAGTCTTGCAAAGATGTACATGGCAGTACAATAACTAAGTTGAATGGTATCAGTTACCTCTTGTCTGCCTTGATTGATGTCTTTTTAACATCTTTAAGGTACCGAGCCATCGTCTGTTCTAGTGTCAGTATCAGCTCAGAGTCAGATTTCATTAGCTGTGCTGCCCTGGGTTCACTAGAGAAATAGTCCAGCCAAGAGTCCACAACAGAGTCCTCCACTGCCTGTACAAAAGTAATTTTTTTTTAACAAAACACCAATCAGAAGCAGGAATAGAATTTTTAAAAGAATATGTGAAACTATTTGAAAAATCTATAGCAAGTGGTTAATAGTTGTAGCAATAAGTTTTTAAATTACATACATGGTTGTGAGAAGGATTCTAACAATAATTTAATATTACAGATTTCAAAAAATTTAGCACATTATAAAATTATTTTCAGTTTAATTGTTGAATTAATTAAGTTCTTCAATTTTAACTTTTTATTTTAACAATTTACCTATTTACTAAAAGAAGGTGTAAAAAAATGTATGCATATTTTGTTTAACACTAAAATACATTAAAAAGGTTTATAGCTTCAGTGCATACGAGCCTAAAGTCCAGACACCGATTTACACAAATATTTTCATTCAGTAATGAAATGGCATAAGTATGATACCATCTATGAGATCAGCACTACAAAGAAAGTCCTCACCAAGGTGTCTGTGAACATTTGGAAGCTTCCCTGGCTTGTTAAGTTGTAGATTTGTCTGGCCAAAGCTTCAGCGATCAGCTGAGCATTCCTTGTAATCACAGCCGCACTGACTTTCTCCCTAAATCAATTATATAAGAAATTTGTTTTTAAATATAAAAATTACTGAGATAACAAAAGACCTACAGAAGTTTAAAAGAAATAACTAGGCAATATTTTAAGAACCAGCAAAAACAAAAAATACTATTTTAACAGCTTCTTATGATGTCTTTACAGATCTTTTACTTTATGATAAAGATTGTTGGATAACAACTAATTCACAAAGCTTTAAAGTCTCTACTTTGTATCAAGGATTGTTGTCCTATCTTGACTTTTGTGAGAGTCAAGATGGCTCAAGGTGAAGGCCAACATTCTTTTGATGCTGAACCTCTCATGCTCCCATGCCAAGATTTCATCAGCCAGGTTGATTTTCTTGTGAATCATGCCAGTTTTTACCTCAGGAAAGTGTTCCTTGGCCACATCCTCAAGATGCTGAACAAATTAATTGTTGTTAAACATTTTTAAACTAAATTAAAAATACATTAAAAAAAGATTTTCAAAATGACTCAAAATATCTTGTACTGAATAGCCTATTAAGGTATCCATATCCTTCAGAATTATCTTTTAATTATTTCTTTTAAATGAAATTTATTGTAAATTTACTGTCAATAGCTGAAAGATTGTTAATTTAGGATCTTATAATCCTCACACAAAAAAATATTTATTTAAGAAAGCTTTCTTTTAAAACTTGAAAAGTAATCTTAAAAAAGGTGAGAGTATGTGACATGACTTACTTGATAGAATTGGCCTCCAGCACTGTCTTCTTTAGGTGGCTTAGAAACATGTAGATTAAGGTCATTCGATGCACCAAGTGTGTCCAAACATAATACAAATGCAACATCAGACAGTATGGTCACCTCTGTAAGAAAGATACAAACAATTTATACTCGATACACAACAGAAGGAAAATATTTTAAATAGCTATTGATTCAGGAAGTACAGACAAAAATATAACTACTTAAATTAAGCTAGGGGCGGTGGTGTGAGAGGTATGTTCACTTTTGTTAGAAAGATATAAACATTTAATACTCTATAAGTATAAATCGTCTTATCTGACAAGTAAGGAAAGCTGAGATTCTTTATTCTTAGCTTTAGCTATTAAAACCACTCTTGATTCAGGGGAGTTAAGATAAAACTGCTTAAATTATGCATAGGTCCTTAAATAGCATCATGTTATTTGGAAGACTCCCAACCCCAGTTATAATAAATTAGAATGATCTCCACTAGAAAAACATGACACTTAAGCCATCCATCATCCCAAAGTGCACTAAAAGTTTTTTTTTTTTAAATAAAAAAGTAGCTACAAAAAAAGTTCAATATCTTGTAAAGTTCTGTTTAAAAACTATGTTATAAAATGCAAAAGTATGAAACAGCACTTTCTAGATACCCCCCCCCCCCCCCCCATTCACAACAAAAAAGTCTGACATCATTAATGGACTATGCCTTACCTGCTGCTTCAAAATTATCCTCAATCCACTTTTTAGAACCTTGATAATTAAACTTTCCTCCTCCAGATAACAAGAAAACCAAATTGTATCTACAGTGTGTTAAGGTGAAATGTTTTACATTTTTGCTAGCTCTACATCTCTAAAATTAATGAAAACTCGTGGTAACAAATGTTTCTAAAAAAGGATACTTGGCATGTGTGCGAGAATTTGTGTACAGTTTGGAGAAAAGCCTTGCTAGTTCCAACAATAAGATAACTCCAGAACCATTGGAGTCTACACCATAAGACAATGCCTGCAAAATAAAATGTATTCATTTTAGTTTTTTTTTTTTTAATTTGTAAGTAATATGGAGGTAAATACACCAAAGGGGAGGATGAAAACTTACAGGTGCAATGCCTCTTGCATCATAATGGGCAGAAATAACAATGGTCGGAAGTTGTTCTTCAATGCCGTACCCGGATAAACGTCCCTAGAAGCAAATACAATATACAATAATTTGTTATACTAAGCTGTTCCTACTGTACTGTACACTAATATACTGCTATAACAGAAACCATTTTCAGGAAACCATAGTATTAAAGCACTTTCAAATTAAAATAAAATTTTAAAACTTTTTAACAAATAGAGACAAGTCCTGGAAATTCTGCTAGTTCTAACTATAACTTGAATATAATTTAGGAAATATTACAATTAGAGAGAAAAAATGTATGCTAATGGTAATATTATCAACTTCTTTATTATGAAGTGACCAGTCTAAGACATTTACAAAATGGCTGTACCTGAATGTTTGGTATGTCAAACTCGGGCATGGACTCTGCTGGATTACCAGACAGAACTAGTTGAAATCCATTGGCTGAAGCAGAACTCAACAAAGCTGAGAAATAAAAGAAAAGGCGTGAAAAATGTATCAAGGAACATATCGTCAAGTCTCCAAATTATGTCTTTTCTAAATTTATATATACTTTGTTTAAAAATATATAAATGCAGTTTCAATTCTAAACCAAACATGGCAATTTGGTAAAATAACAAAAAAAATTATTTTTTCCCAATGATTCCATTCCATCAAATTATTAGAAACTAACTTTTTGTTAAAATTCTCAAAGTAAGAGCAAAAATACATTATTTCTGGATAATTGGTTAAATATTTTCACAAAATCATAAGAGACTTGCTTTACAATTTACTAAACAAGGTAAAACAGAACAATTTTGTATGATTTACAATTAAAAGGATATAAACTAACCTTCCCAAGCTGTTGGTGCATTATCTCCAGAATTGCCTTCCTGCACATCCAAATAAATGTCTTCAAGATACTCAGACTGTGTAGCAAAGTACACAGGAACTGTGGTTGGTTCCTGGAGCAAGTCATGCTCCAAGTTTTGCAGATGCTGCAAAAAAAAATAAGTATTTTTATCTTAAAATTTTGAAAGAAACATTAAAATTTGATGGTGTAACAGACCACCTGAAAAAAAAAGAGAGATTTATATTTCATGACAGAAAGCAAGATGTATATCCAAAGTTCCACTAACTATTCAAGGGTTTTTTAAAAATGATTATGAACAAATAGCATTTTGGTCAATGGAAGGTTTAAATATATAAATAAATTTACCTGCTTCTCTTCTGCAGAGAGTTCCATAAAATTGTTTGGAAGAATGACCAAAAGAGCACCTGCATTCTGTGTCATTAGGTCTCTATACTTTGTCATGGTGACATCTTTCAGCTTTGCCACAGCACAACGGCGAGTCAGCATTTTAGAGTCAATGGACCTTGCCTCCATGTTGATGATGGAATTTTTACAGCCTGTGGTGATTAAAACAAAACCATAATGAGACTAACCCAATTAATAACTTATTTTTTAAAAACTTTGAAAGACTAAGAATACAAATTTCAGCAAAAATTTCTGTTATTAATTGTACTAGGCCTAAAAAAATACTATGTATTAAACTTACAAATGAACATTTGATAAATTTCTGTATTGCTAACATACAATACAAGCAAAGAAACTTTTTGCATTTTTTTCTGGATGTTTTGAAAAACTGACTATATATGAACACAAAAAAATTATATAAAATAGTAATTTGCAATACAATGTACAGCCAATTTTTTACTTAAATATTAATTTTAATTTTACTGTATAATAATCTATCAAATTGTGAGGTTAAGTTTAGATATAAAAAGATAAATTACCATAGCTCGTGCCTTGAAGATCATAATGCTGCATTCTGTAAACACCAAATTCTTGGGCTGCATTCACTGGACTCACAGGCGAGATGATAATAAATATAGGTACAAAAAACAGGAATGACAACGGAAAGCTTCCTCTGAACATTTCAAAGATTTCTCCCATTTCATCGAACCACATGGTGATAAAGGGGGTGCTTGTATTTTATAAATACAAGATGTAGATAATCTGCAATTTTTAAATAAAAATTGTTTCATTAGGCTTATAACATGCTTATTATTTAACTTGCTTTCTTTATCTTTCGTGCTTTTGTCTTCATCATGGGTCAAAACTGGTGAAACAAATATTTCGACTGCTTCTAATAGTAGAAAGAAATTAAAGAGTCATGTTACATTTTTATTACAATTACACTACAGTTCAATAGGGTAACTTAACTTTTTATTTCATACCACAGTAATATATACAACAATATAACTTTCTTCTCTTATTGTCAATATCATTAATTATAAGCGTCATAATTATTAATAGAGCCTATTTAAAATATATTTTACCAGCTCTTAAGATGACAACACAGCCTACTACAACGCTTAAACTTAAAGTGTGCTTGACACTCAAATTGATAAAATATTGATAGGCCTACTAACAAAGATAAGCAAAGTTAAGCGATTCATTATTCCTACTACTACTTTTCTAGCCGATTCAGCCACAATTAGTTGATTGTTGGAGTTGTAGCCTGCCCTACTAGATCTAGGCCTATATTTTAGTCTGGCGCATTGCTTAGATGGCAGGATTGACCTCTGACCCTGAAACGTCACGCATCGTTTTCTGACGGTTTTTTCCGTTTATTTTAGGGGTCCCATCCACGACAAATGAAAAAACTGTTTATATCGCAAATTCTCATCATTATTTTAATGCAAATTGCTAATAAAATGGATAATATGCCTTAGAATGCCAGAAAAAATCGCAAGATTCGTGTTTGTAAATAATGAGAGGATTTCTAGTGGAGCACTCTCCGTAAAAACTGAACCGCCGCCAAAAACGACCGACTAACGGGGAAAACGGCTCGACTAACTGTACATTAATATATAATTGATATATTTATCATGTATATTTACAGTATTTTTGATTACTTTTTCTAAAATCTTCCTCGAGGATGAGGTACCCACGCTGACATTTCTATCCGCTATTTTAAGTATCATGACGTCATTGTTACGCTAGTTGCCAGACTGAAACAACTAGTTTTTGTTTTTTACGGAATGAACTGTTAAGTCTAGTATTTTAATTATAAATCAATTGCAGCATGTGTGGAAAAAGTAAAATTATAGACATTATTATTGTATTAGTAATTTTATTAGTATATTGATTTTTTCTTCACTGTGGGCCGACCGTTGCTGCATTCGTGACCAGTGGTTGACCTCGTCAACGCCGCGTGGCCTATTCGTTTATATAATCAGTGTTGCTCGTTCAGTGGCCTTTTTCAGAGCTAGGCCTAATTACGGGCGATTTTTAGACTTAATTGATTGGCCGTTAGCCTTTTTCATTGCTGCGTATTGTAAAAAATGCTCGTTCAGCAGCCTTTTTTTTGGCGCTAAATAATCTGTTTACGGGCATTTTAAGCGTTTATTTATTTATTTTTTTAAGCTAGACGTAGATCTAGTTTAAAAAATATTATTTTTATACAGCTGGCTGTCTAGCATGCCTGATATCCGAACTTAAAAAAATTACCGAACTAAAAAAAATGACCAGAAGTAGGGAAGTAGGTCTCTTTTTCAATTTGCTTGAAGAAGAGGAGGGGGGGGGGGAGAGAGAGAAGTGAAGACACCGACCATCTCGTGTACGCGTGTTCATTCTATGACGTGTACTGTAGGCCTGCTGAAGTCACGGTGACCCCGCGACCGTGGTGGGATTTTTCATCCACAGGATAGTAAACATAAGCAAGCAATCACGCGAGTGACGATGTTTGGAGATTTTATTTTTAAAAAAATCACATACGTCATGTTTTCAAGATGAAAAAAATGTAATGTAAAAAAAAAAAGACACTAATACCATGTATGAACCTCAGCTGCCACACTGTTGACTCAATATAATGTGATTGAGTGTAAAATGTATTTGCATTTATAAACTATCTTAACTATTACTATCATATTATTTTATGCATATTTATTATTTAAAATTAGAATTTGAAATAAAAATATTTATTATGGTCGTTTGATTTATGTAGGTGTTCATTATTTTTTAAAATGGTATGAATAAAATGTAGAGTAGAATTTAATAAATAATAAAATAACTAGATCTAAGTTGTATTATCAACCAGTTGCTTTTTGTTATTTTCCGGTGAGTAAATGACCTAAGCTGACGCAATTACCATGGCGGGAATTAAAAGCTCGTGCACACAAGTTCACGGCGTCATGTTATGCCAGTCCAGGAGCAAGATTCTTGTTTTGTCATTCATTTTCCATTCTAGCTAAATTTTCAAATTCTCTTTTTTCTCGTCAACCGAATAAGCTAGATATTTAAATGTGGTGTCAAATGTTCTCTTAAGGGGTAA